CTGGGTAGTGTCTTATCTACAAACCCCTCTGCCTTCCAAAATTTACCCCGGAACTTATTCCATTAAAACTCCCCTCGCTCAAAAGCACAATCAGTTGCGCGGCAGGGAGGCCGGGGCCAAATTTTCGGAGCCCACAGGCCTCTTTGGAAGCAGGATATCCTATTTGATGCTCAGTTTGTTAAGATTACCAAGATTTCAAAAACGTCTTATTGTGGTGAGATTTGAAGAAAATATAGTTGAGGTTAACTGATGCATGATGTGCCAAGTGGTGAATGCTAATTACTTGCAGCTTTGTGGATCTTTGCCATCTTTACCCATTCTAATCTGGCAGTGGGAGTATATTCTTATGGATTTAGTTGTTTGATTCCCAAGTCTTCTCAAGAGCAAGATACTAGTTGGTAGTAGTAGAGATGTTGATGGAGAATGCATATTTTCTTCTTATTCGATAAGTGTCTCTGATAAGTTCAATTGTATGCTGACTCCATTATCTAACTTCATAATGTACCTAAATTCATAGTTTTTGATCGAGATAATTATTTTGGGTTGTGGAAACAATTGCGAAAAGCTATGGGAACAAAACATATATTCAGTATTGTCTTTCATGTCCAAAGACATGATCAATTTGAATAAATAATACAAATTATAGGACCTATGTAGAATGTGCATTTTGGCGGAGATTGGGAGAGAGATCTTTGCCTCTTTGGTTTTATTTACATACAAAATTGGCTATTAATCGAGCATTGACATGGTTTGATTTGAAGCATTGTTTAGATGGATATGTAGGTTGCCCTTATGTTGGACATAACTTGGAGAACAAGTACTTTTAGGGCACCTAATCATGAACGAAACTACTAACAAGATCAAAACAATTTAAGACAACTCGTTAAACATGTCCAGTGAAAGAAGTATCACTTCAAGAGTCAAAAGGACAACTTGTTTGAAGTGAGAGATAAGGTATTCCTTAAGGCTTGGGGAAGGGGGTGAAACATTTTACTTTGTCCTCTTTGCATTGGATCATTTGAGATTTCATCTCTGAGACCTATTTTCTATCAATTGATTCTACCTCCTCGACCAATTGATATACATAATGCATTTCATATGTCTTCTTCTCTTAAGCAATATGTACCCAACCCACTCATATTATTCTAAATATTGCCTTGAGAAGATGCAAGTGTAGCCCTGCTTGAGATTTTTGAAGATGCGCTTGAATGAATACTAGCACAACAAGACAAATACAATTTCATAGCAAGAAGCTATTTTTGGTTTAAATTTGATAATGCCACATGGGAGTAGAGATGGAGATGAGAGACAAGCATCCTCTCCTTATTAATTGTGCGTGCATGAGTTTTGAGATGAAATTTATATTTTAGTAGGGGAGAATGTAAGGACATAGAACCTCAATGTTTAGGCTTCATTTAGGACAACTTTTTTTTCTGCTTCTTAAAGCAGCTTTTTAGTATAAAAAATTTAATTTTTGTTCTAGAAAGCTACTTCATGAAGCAGTAAGAAAGCCGTCCCAAACAAGGTCTTAGAATCTCGTACAAGTTAACTTAGAATTTTGAGTTAAACAATTTTTTCTAGTTGTTGCCAACTTGCATTGGACCTAGCGGACTTGATGTTATATATCTTCATTCTTGATCGAGTAATGTATGAAGATTATTGGGATATATTTCAGGAATTGTTCTTAATTTCTATTGCATGACAGGTAACGTTGGGCATATCAACACTTCTTTCCTACGTTCCAGTTTCTCTAGCCTCAGGTCACCAAGCTGGAGCATTGAGTTTGATGACTCTCATGGTCCTCTTAATGCATACTTTAAGGAAGCCATCGTCAGCTGCTCTCAGATCTCTGGCTTCATTGCCGAAAAGCAACGGCTAACTCAAATGGATCAACCAACTATATAAATTGATTCGTCTGAAGATTCTCCATATAGCAAAAGCACCAGCTTGGATAAATTAGTGTGTCATTAGAGTTATGCTTCTCTTTTGAAGAGATGGAAATCCTTCAGTTTTCCTATGTACTGTAGAACAGCTGCAATTTTTATCAAAATTTTTTAATTGTGGCCAACCTTGTTGGCTGATGTAGTATTTTCAGGTGGATGTTTTGGAATTGGTAATAATAGATGGTTCAATGATGCATTTGCTATTTTTTAAGCAAGTTGTGTATAATCTGAACAATTCATTCATTTGTGGCTAACCGTTGGTTTTTTTCTGCGGTCAAGTTGATCTGGAATAAGGTGAAAAACTGTTCTATTGTAAGGTGTTTGCAAGTGGTTTTCATAGGAAATGCCGCCCTAAATGAGAAAATCCTATTACTTGGCATTGGAATGTTAGGGCAATTTTGAAAGAGATATTAACTAGAAACAAATTCGTTGAACAACTTACTAATTGTGGACATCTGGATGCAGGTCTAAAGTAAAAAATTCTTATTGAGTTATAAATGATTAATCATTTATAGATTTTTAAAATTAAAACAAAATATAGCAAAGAAAAGTTATAAAATAAATTATTCAAATTTCAAACAACTTTCATTTCCTTGCTTTAGATTGATTGATTTCACAATTACTTAATCCATACCATGTATGTCCTTGTCCATATTCTGAATTACATATACTGATATAAATGCTACAGTAATGAACGTAATGAAAAGTGAACAACCTTCCTTAACCGATACTTAACTCTTCTCCTCTGTTTTCCTTTTGCTGGTTGTTTTCATGTTGCAGGTTTGGATAGAAGCAATGAAGGCAAAGCTACTCTTCATGGTATCATAACCATACTAGTTCCTTACGGCTCGACATTGAGTGTAGCTCCTTCATTCTAGTTTATCCTCTGCCTTTCTTGGTTATGGAAAATCCTTCGTAGTCCTCTACCTCATCCCAATCTCCTTTGGTTGTTAAAATGGCTGATATCCCTATTCAATCTCAGCTGAAATTTCTAATGACTACGTCAAATCTGTGCTTAATATTTAGCTAACTGCTGAAAAACTATAAGTTGTGGAAATCACGAATCCTAAAGCTATTTATCGCAAACGGGTTTGAGGGATATTTAGATGGAACAACTCCAAAACCACCCAAACTTCTATCTTATGGTACCAGAATCAGTCCTAACTCTAAATAATATACATGATTACTTGTTCATCAAAATATTGATGCGGTTCTATACGCCACAATTTCTCCAACTTTTCTACCCCATGTTTTGAATGTTGATTCATGCTATCAAATATGGTAGACCATAGAGCGACATCTTTACATAGAGCGACATCTTTAGTCGATGAATCATTCTCGCATTCTTTAGTTGAAGAATGAACTGCATCATGTATCCATGAAAGAAAAATCTATGATGAAGTATTTATATGAGATTAAAAGCAAGGTTGATGTTATAGGTTCCTCTGGTTCACCATCATCGCCAGGCGACATTATCTTATACACACTGAATGGTTTGCTAAGCACCTATCAGGTGTTCAAAATTGCAATTCAGATAAATTTGAACCCCATTAGTCTAGATGATTTTTATGTTCTTCTTTGTAGTGAAGAGCTCAATCTAGTAGCTGAATCAATTTGTGAACTTTCAATTTCATCTGACCCAATATAAGCATTTGTTGTTCAACGAGGTTGAGCTCATGGTCGTAGCTTCTGCGATCTTTTTTCTTCGCAACTGCCCAATGGACAAGCCATCTTCAGTCATGGTTCTTCATCCTCTTAGTCTACAATTTCTTCTATAGAATGCCAAATCATTGACAAATTTGGCCACTCAGCACTAAGTGATGACACTGTGGCGATTTCTTGTATCAAACACATCGTTTGTCCTACTCTACTGACATTGCTTCTCCTTATTTTGAATGGTTGCTAGATTAAGGCGCTACATCAAATTTAACTTCTGATTCTCATTAACTACACAATGCCAAACCATACAAAGGATCTCAATTCTTTAATTTAAAATTTTGATTTTTTCTATTTTAGTATAGAATTAATATTGTAATAGAAATTGGTTTAAAGAAAATTTTCAAGGTCATTTCTTTTGGTTTATGGGTTGACATCCTTCATTTCAAATTCTACTTTCTTTTTTATTGTTGTCAAAAGGGAGAATAATATTAGTGTTTGTGTTGATTCTAAGATGTGTTGATTGTGAGATGTGTGTATGTTTAATTGTTTGTTTGATTTGATTGAATTCAATGCATGTGAATGTGATTTGATTGAATGTAATGCATGTGTTATGTTTGATTGAATGTATGTTTGTCTAGGGTGTTCGTGTTCGTTGTGTCATCCTTAGGGTATTTGTATCGTGTTTATGTTTTCGTCGTGTTTTTATTTTTTGTTTGATTCTCATGGTTGTTTTTGTTTGTTTTTCATGGAATCCTTGTATTTTTCATGTGTTATTCATTTAGCGGGAGCTAAGGAGAGTTTTTTTATTTATTTTGTATATTAACTCAAACAATAACTATTTTGTCATCATCAAAAGGGGGAGATTGTTGTAACTTAGTTTTCATAACTATATTTTCATGTGATGTGTGTTTTTGATGATTCTAAATATTATTATTTGCTTATTGATTCTCCTAACATATATTGGAGTGCTTTTGTTGTTTGTGTGCACTAACATTTCAGAAAAATTATACATCAAACTTTTAAAGACTTCAAGGCAAAATAGATTAGGGTTTATTATAAATGGAGTATGTATTTTTTACTTTTATTGAGTATAAGAGATTGTGATTGTAATTAAGTAATCGTACACACACATACTGGGTGAGTGTTTAAAATCTATAGATTTTTAAACTAATCATATTGTATGATTTAAATTTATACGGGACAATTTATTCAGTTCTTTCCTCCTAAGAGCAGTTAGATGAACTATTCAAAGAAAATTTTTTTAAGTACTGATCATACTGTATGAAGTGATATTCGTATAGATGACAACTAGAGTATGAAATAGATACATCTTTATTTGTCTTGTTGATTTCTTAATTTTTTTTTCTGATCATACTGTATAATCCATTCTTCATACATACGATGTCCATAGTATGAAAAAATGGGTCCCTTTTTGTCATGATGATTTCTAAATTTTCTTGAACTAATTATACTGTATGATCCATCCTACATATAGACAATGTCCGGAGTACGGAAAGGGCATATCCCTTTTCATCCTCACGAACACCAAATTTTTCTAAACTAGTCATACTATATGGATATAAATAATTTGCATAGGTTTGCCTTGGGACATTTGCATAAGTTTAACAACCTATATGGACTTTTCAAGTGGTATTAGAGATTTATTTAAAAAATTAAAGTTTTGACTACTTTTTATAAATGATAATGGCTACTTTTGGAAACCGTAACACATCGGAAGGGTATTCGATCACTGGACCTCCATTATTTGATAATATTCCTTTTGATTTTTAGAAAACATGTATATATACTTTTCTTCAATCGCTTGACTATCGCATGTGGATTTTAGTTCAGAATGTGTATATTAGGCCAACTAGACTTATATATTACATTAGAGTTGAAACACCCTTTGCTGACTAGACTGTACAAGAATGAGACTTAGCATAATTAAACATAAAAGGTTTGAATAGTTTCTTTTGTGCACTTAAACCAAAATATTACATACCTGTTTCTACTTTCATAGTGGAAAAGAAATTTGGGATAGACTCTATATTATATATAAAGGAATTGATGAAGTGAAATAATATAGATTAAATATCTTATTACATAATTATAAATTATTTAACATGAAACCAAATGAATCTATATCTAACATGTACACATGTTTTACTCAGATAGTCACTTCTTTTCTTGTATTCGGTTGGGAAATAATGAATAAAAATTTAGAATTAATTGGTACTTATCACTATAAAAATAGAAGTTTTAGTTTTAAAGCAGTATTAAAACTAAGAAATAATCAATTTTAAATTTTTAAATTAAAACTTTACAACCTCATACTTGTACATATCTCAAACTTGATTTCTAACTTTCCACTAGTCAAAAGAAGTTTCATGAATAACCTTAGTTGGAACCCTATTCAATATGAAGAGAGAGGGAGAGAGAAAAGAGAGAGAGAGAGAGGGAGAGAGAGAGAGAGAGAAATGAGAATATATGTGAAAGTTTGGAGTAGCTCCTATGGTACATAAGGTTAGAGAGAGTTTCCTTAGATGATTTGGTTGCATAAGACATCAACATTTTTTAAATTCCAGTTAGAATAACATATATGTTAGATTTGATACATGTTAAGAAAGTTATAGGCATCAATAAAAAGACTTGGTTATAAAATTATACTATGAGTAAATCCACTAATCCACCTAAAGTATAACACATTTGTACATGTGTTCTAATAAATGTTTTCATAACTATGTAGGGGGACGTTTGCTTCAACGTCCAAATGACTATCCAAGAGGAGAGATATTGGATGTATAACAGATTGTTGCCGGGTCGAAAAGGATTGACAACTGAATTTATACAGGGAGTTGAAACTTTCATTCAAGTTGGATCTCAACTATCTTCTTTTCAGTTTGATAAAATATTTAGATGTCCATGTTCGAAGCATAAAAATCTAGCATTCATCAAGCACGATGATGTGAAGCTTGATTTATATCGTAGGGGAATTTTTTCCAAACTACTGGATTTGGACATCACATGGCAAGAGGAAGAGCAGCGACGAACATCTTGAGACAGCGAGGATACATCTGAGGAGTAGTTGTGATTGTTGATTGAACTTGTGAACTTGTGAATTTGTGAAATTCTGAACTTATGCTTTATGGTTGAACATATTAACTTTGTTTACATTTAATGTTTTGTTTGATTGTGCTTATGTATATAGTTGTGGTTGTTGATTGAATATAACGGCGTGTTGCCCAAAACTTGTTATATATTGCTTTTTGTGCATGTTTAGAATTTAGGGTGAACCTCCCTCAAATAGAGGGGAGGCTGTTAATTTTTTTTTCAGATGCTACAGGTTTCCGGCGGCCAACTGGCGGTTTGGCCACCGGAAACGACGATACCAGAAGGATGATTGAAGCCGACGGTAACATCGTTAAACCGCCAGTATTATACCGGCGTTTACCGATGGAACCAGGCGGTTATCCGGTGAACGCCCGGCGGTCTTAACCGCCGGTAAGACCGTCGGCCAGGACCACAGGGAAACCGTCATTGTTGTACCGGCGGTATACCGACGCGTGCCGGCGGTTAATCTAACGAACGACGGCCGCTGTAACCGCCGGAAAGCCGTCGGTGAATGGACTGCCGGTAAGCCGTCGGTAAAATGACTGGCGGCACAATGGCCAGAACACCGCTGGTACAAAGCCGTGTAAGATCCGGCGGTATAAGCCGCCGGAAGACCGTCGGCTAATAAAGCCGCCGGCAAATTATTTCTTACGCTATTTTTTCCGACGGTTTGATAACCATCGAAAAGCCCCCGGTGGTTGAGTAAACCGCAGGTGTTACTATCAAAACTGCCGGAAAAAATCACCGGTTTTGAGTGATTTTCCTGTAGTGGTTGAGCAAAGAGATTTTTAATATTTATACAAGAATGCATTAGTAGCTTCCCTGTGAACTATTCATTTAGTTTTATTAGTTTAATTATTGGTGTCTATTTAAGTAACTATTCAATTAGTTTTATTAGTTCAATTATTTGTGAATGTTTTATGAGAGATAGCTCCAATTTTATGATAAAATAATGTTATTGTGTACACAGAGAATGTAGATATAAGAAAATCAATTCAAAGAAAAAAAATTCAAAAGTTTGGATTTTTCTTTTTTAAAGCTTTTTTCATTTAAAATGTAAAATTAATTAATATTGAATATAATGTTCATGTTCAATTAGTGGGTTCTATAAATCACGAATAATCGAAGAATATTCCTCATGTTTAATTATTAAAAATTAACAAAAAAGAAACACAAGATGTTAACATTCAAAAACTTATTTGATATATTAAATTAAATACATAAAAAAGCACAATGTCGAAGAAATCGATGCAATAGGTCAACATCTGAACATCAGCAGCCACACTGATCTTAATATTTTACTGATCCTTACCTAAATATCTACGCCATTATCACAACAAAAACCATATTTTGTCAGGAAAACCCGTAGTCTAGTTCAAATAATAAATAATAACATTCTGCCGAGCTTAGAAATGGCTTCGCCTTACTGCCATTTGTAAACTCATCACGGTCAAATTCAAGAATAGAGAATTGAATGGTTCTTAAGGAAATAAGGACCCAGTTCTCTTTCCTATAAGTACCCCCAACCAAATCAAAACCCAAAAACCAGAAATTTAGTTAGTGAGCGAGCTCAAACATGGCTTCTTATATCGTCATGTTTGTTGCCATAACCTTCATGATTGTTCTCCCTTTAATCTTCGCTGGATGCAAACAACAGAAGGCCGAGGCTCAGCCAGGGCAGAACGTAGTTTACTATGGCAACCAGGCTGAGCATCGTGGGCTTGGCAGCGGCAATGGAAGACGTGATATTGAGTCAGGGCTGGACGCCGTTGCTGGAATTGGTCGTGCTATTGATGATGCCACTTCTAATCATGACTGTGGTGGTGGTGGCGGCGGCTGTCTATGTGGCGGAGGAGGAGACTGTGATGGCGGTGGGGGAGGATGTGGCGGAGGTGATTGATGTTGTGGCTATAGACAGGCTCCGTTTGGGATGGCTTTTTTACTGTTTCTTCAAGCAGTTTTTTAGTACAAAATTTTTAATTTTTGGACTAAAAAATTATTTTAAGAAGTAAGAAGAAAGCCATCCCAAATGAAGCTAAAATCTTGTTTAGTTATGAAACAAGTGCTTTGTATAAATGAAATAAAATTAAGTTCTCCATCATTGTAATTGTTCAACCGCAATTATGGCAAGGATGGTTGGTATTGAATCCACCAATCTCTTTTAAAATTAAACGCATAATTGAGATGGAGAATTTCACTTATGTAATGGATCATAATTAAACGCGTTAAGTATACTTATGTTTTTTTTTTTCTTTAGTGTAAGAATTGATTATTGATATTTATCTGCAGAAGTTGAAGAAAAAACTTCCTCTTTTCTATTTTTTAGCTGGCGTATTTTGCTGGTAGTGAAGGAACTTAACGTAATTTTGAAGAGTCATAAGGCTAAAAAATTAGGGTTTAAAAAGCTTTATCATTTCAATATACACCGTGGGGGGAACAATAACCCATGTATTTGTATGTGATTTTATTTAGCTCTATAAATTGCTACTACGACGAATTGAGGTATGCATTGTATGTCGTTTCAACTTTGTGACTTTTAAAATTTCATAGTTTTCTATCTTCCATACTTTTGTACTTTATAGTTTTCACCTTTTTAGTTTTCTACATTGCATAGTTTTAATTTTTTTTGTATGTAATTTTATTTAGTAAATCAAATTAGAATGGAAGCACCTAGTAGTCAGACTTCAGATTCAATTTATACTGTGCGTGAGAAAGTGGGCATTGCTTGTAATCATTTTGCTGAAGTTAAAGGAGCTGATAGGAAGAAGCAATTTAAATGTTAACATTGTGGTATTTCATACAAGGGAGGAGGAATTAATAGAAGGAAACAACATTTATCAGGTATAAAAGAGAATTAAGTTGCTTGTAAGAAGGTTCGACATTGTATGAATTTGATTTGGAAATATATTGGAAGCATGCCTCTCATAGAGGAGCTAGCAAAAAAAAGCATCAAAGTTCACAATTTTCGTTATAATTATATATTCATATTTGCATTGCTTAGGAGATGGCCAAGTTGGAAGGAGATTGTACGTCTTGGAGCAACCTGTTTTGCAATAACCTTCATAACTTTAAAAAGTGTGCATGAGTACCATCATGACCTACATGTACTAATCACAAGCAAGTTTTTTATGGATTCGAAGATATCCAAAACCTCCAAGGGAAAGGAAGTAGCTTTAATTATTTTGGACTTGAGGTTTTGATATAATTGTCTTATTATTTCGAAGATATGAGACCCTTTGATTAGGTTATTGCGTATTATTGTCTCTGATAAAAAAATCATCCAGTGGATATCTATATGATGACATGTATAGGGCAAGGAATGTTATTAAAGTTATGTTCAGAAATGTAAAGAGATCATATAAGTCTTTTACTATTATAATTAACAGAAGTGATACTCAATTAAGGCAATGCATCCATTAAGTAGCATATTTTCTCAATCCTCATTTTCAGTATGATAGAGAGAACTATTGTTAAAAGCTAGAAATTTTACAAGGTCTAATTGAATTAATTGGAAATAAAGATATTTGTTATAAGCTCACAGTTGCAATGAATGAATTCAGATTATTCCATGATGGCTTAAAAAGCTTTGGAAAATCAATTGCGCTGACAATAACGAAAGAAATACAACCTGGTAATTCTCTTTTTTACTTCCAACATATGTATTTAAATATGCTTATTCACTAATATAAATATACTTATTCATTAAATCCTCAAACTTAATAATATGTAGATGAGTGGTGGATTATATTTGGATCTAGTGCTCCAAACTTGCAAAAAGTAGCTATAAGAATTCTCAGTCAAACATCATCTTCATCATGATGTAATAGAAATTAGAGTATTTTTTAACAGATCCACTCATAGAGATGGAATTATTTGGAGCATCAACCACTCAACGATCTTGTATATGTTTGATATAATTTGAATTTAAAGAATAGGTATGATATTACATTATATTAATATTTATATACAAATGTCAATTTAAATAGTATGTATAATCTTAACATAAAGTTAATTATTCATTTTTAGGTTTCAACTTAAAAAAAGACATTATGACCCTCTATACTACACTTGTGTTGAAATTGTTAATTTTTAGATACTTGAAGATGAAACAACTCCAGAACTTGACTTACAGGATTTAGAAAATGAGATATACAAAGAGGATGCAATACCAATTATTGAATAACAAAATATATCATTTAATAAGTCATGAAATTGTAAGTTGATAATGAAATTTTAGTATATCATTTAAATGAAAGAAAAAATAATATCTTATTTTATATTTCTTATTTGTTGGTGAATGTGACTTAGAGAATGAATGAGATGTATGTGACATAATGGGGCTTAATCAATCAGATGCATTTGAGTTTGAACATTTTGGTGAAGCGAGACCTGGAGCCTCAACTTATGTGGATAGATTTGATGATGCTAATTTAGGGGATCTTTAATTTTCTTCTTGTGAATTATTGAAAGTTTGAAACTATTGAAATGAGAAAGTGAATATGTTTTATTTTTGTTATTAATTGGTATAAAACATTTTTGCATCTTTCTATGATTGGTTGTCTTCAAGTAAAATATACTATTATGTTTTTCTTATTTACTATATATATATTATTTTATTTTTTATACTTCATATTATAATTATGTTCAATTTTTGTTATATATTTATAAATAGTTGTGTCATTATTATAATATTTAAATATAATAAATATTTATTACGCCATCCGGTTCGACCCCGGTAAAACCATCAAACCAGTAACCCCTCCTTTCTGTTCATTTACCGGTCAAATTTTAAAAGCCTTGTTTGAGATAACTTTCTTACTGAATTTTTTTTTTTTGATATTTAGGCCATTTTAGGCAAACACACGTACACAACGCATATTTAAAGACTCGAACTCAAGACCTCTTAGTTGGAAGCCTAACTCTCAACCAACATACCAATGTGAGCTGTGTCTTACTGATTTTTAAAATAACTTTTTAGTACAATGCTTTTTACAAAAAAGTTTTTTACTAAAGAACTATTTAATAATGTCATTCGAAGGTTGTCCAAAATGAAACCTTAATATCAACTAATTCAATACAGTCATAAGTAATTAAACTATTAGCATCAGAATGAGCTCATTAATCAAATTATTATTATAATTTCAGTAAGACATAATTCGAAGTTTTATAGCTTCATTTGAGACAACTATATTATTGTTTCATAAAATAATGTTTTATATAAGCCCGCGAGCCTAATCTATACATGTGTCCCTTTTATATTCCACCTATTGTCTGCAACCAAGTGCAGTGTCAAAAATATTTATGAAACCCCTTTAAGAGCTCTAATGTAAAATTTGGTTCTCTCGAAGTCGTATATACTCATCCTATAAAATATAATATTAATCATCATATATTCATTGCTTATAATATTTTTGTTAGAATTATAACTTTCTATAATTACATATTCCCTCCACACTTGCTTATCCACCCACTACTGGTCCACTTGGTGCTTGTTAGTGTGACTGTATAACTCAATAGTAGTGAATTCTCTACCATGCATACTCTTTTGTAATATACTTAGATTAGCATATAAAACCTAATAAATTATTAAAATTTGTTAAAATTCTTGCTAATCATTATATGTGCTTTGTATATAGAATCAAGCCCTTAGTATGGTGGGAGCCCACCTAGGCCCCCAACATCAAAAGCTTAATTCTATTCATTTTGAACACTCCTTGTTATATAATTTAGGTTCCCCAAGTAGTTTTATGCTCGATCCATACAGCCTCTCTATTACAAAGTGGTCACTCACTTGTCCTCTTAATGCATGTGAATATATTTCTCAGGTGAGTGCTCCATATTTCTCAAAATTTATTCTTATATGTGTATCATGTTCCAACAACCAATAAAAATCTCATTGTATATAACAAATTAGAATAAAAATTATTCTTTATTAGTTTACTTAAAGATGGATAGATGTTAAAAATACTACAACTTTCTAACTTCGAACTTCCTAAACCACATGCCACACACTACGTTCGAGATTTTCTTCCTATAAACACATGGAGCATCAAACTTGCTCTGTAATATATTCCATATCTTATACATAGACAACTTTGACGAGTAAAACCAACATAAACTTTTTTGTTTTAAAAAATTAATTCAAAAATATCTATGTAATAGAAAATATGAATTGTATACATGTGGTTGTTGCTACAGTAGTCTGTATGGAAGGTGCAGCTACAATTTGAGTGGAAGGTCCAACTCTAGAGGGCTGAGGGGGTGGTGGGTAGTAAAATGGCAGAACATATGGTGGATAGAGATAAGTAAAAGGGCCTCCCTGAGAAGATGGTAGGGGATAGTACATGTAAAAAGGATCTGTCTACGTAGGGTCTGGTGATGAAAACTAGAAGTTTAGGGAGTAAAATTGAGGACTCCCTACATGAAGTGTAGATAAAGGGGAATAGTCTGGATATAGGTGGAAGGTTATGGATAGGAGGTTCCGTTAGTACATCCACCCTTGTTATAATCCAACCTGTCCAAGATCTAATTTTGGAATATTTTAGATTTTTGTCCAATAATCATTTTAAAAAGCTACAAACTACAGAGCTACTAAAATATCAAAAAACTAAAAACAAACTCATCCAAAAGATTTTCTTTTATTTTATAAAAATGTATATTTGTAGTGCAGTACATGGTTACATGTAGAAGCTATAGAACTCAAAGATAAACTAGTTATGCCTATACAAAATCTAAATAGAGAAATACTTTAATTATTAATCAAAGTTCTCCCTCCCTTTCCCAGATCCTAAAAACCATAAGCAAACAACAGTGAGCTATAACAACTCAATAGGCCACACAAACTAAATCTAAATTTTAAAAATTTTATTATTAAATTTTACTAATTATTTAAAAGAAATT